AAAAACAACACGTTTAAAACTGATTCACCGTTTGCTGTGCTGCCTCTTTTTTCCTCTCTTTCCCTTTCTCTCTAACTCTTACTCATTTCGTTTTTTTTATTCTCTCGTATGGAGATGCAGTTGGTCCTATCATTGCTATGTCATTTTCGTTTCATTCCGAAAAAGCAACCTCTTTCTTTCTCTCTCCATCCGTGTGTTATTACACGGAGCATACATGGCTTGAAAATTGAGCTCAGTTTATCTGCTCGTATTTTTTTTTTGTTCCATTCAAATAACTTCGAACGCAAGTGAATTGTTGTTGCGGATATTTTGTTTCCCACTTGCATCGGAAACGAGTGGGGGAAGAAACAATCAACCCATTCGATTGAATACAAAAAACGAAGAAGAAGAAGAAGAAGAGTTGCTATTAAAATTCTTTTGTTGCAAGGGGTTTTCGGTTTGTTGGCAACTTAAATTCGATCGATAGATAAGGCTCGTGCATGTTGATGTATGCGGCAAAAATGCAAAACACACCACCAATCAATCAAACAACATTTCCATAAACGATATTTCAATCTGAGGAAGAGCCCAAGCGACTATTGGAACCGAATGGAAAAACACCGATGTCGTCGCCAACACACAGATGTAACACGAAAATAGAGTCGAAATTTTTCGACGGAAAACAGCTGGAAAATAATGCACAAACAACTCGTTCTCTATCTCTCTCTCTCTGGCCGTTGAACGCATGAATCACGATCTATAAAAAACGTACCAAACATCAATTGAATTCATCGGTGTTTTCTCTCTAGAGTGAGAAAAAGACGCTTCTCTATCTCTCTCATTCTTCCAAAGTATCCTCTTTGTTCGAGTGAGCACATCAAATTTCGAAACTATTAAATGATATACGTTTGAAATGACGCTTTTGAATTGGACAACAGCACTTACGATTCGATTCAGTGTTGTGTATGTATATCGGTTGGTCTTTATTTATATTTTTTTCATTACTTGTTGTGTTATTCTATTTTGTGTACACTTCTTGTTTTTATTTCTCAATATCTATTTGCCTGTCGTCGATTTCATATAAAAACACAATTATTTTGTCTTTGTTTTTTTTTCTTTTGCTGATTTTTTTTCTACACTTTTTTCGTCGTAGTCGTCGTCGTACAATTAACAGCACTGTTTACACTACTATCTATTTCAATCTCGTATAAAATGAGAATTAATATTATATCGAGTTTGTAACACAGAACTGCCAACTTCAAATTCAGAATTTGTGTATCGGCACAGAAAGAAACAAAAAATTATGGTGATGAAAAACAATTTGACGTTGTTTTTTTTCTCTTCACCGTTCGTGTTGTTGTTGTTGTTGTTGTTGTTGTTGATTGGCAAATAATTAAATACAATTCTGTACACTCAATTTTTTCCATAAACTAAAACAAGTAACAAAATGTGTTGTGTCGTTTTTTCTTCTTTAGACCGAATTAAAGTACAAAATATCTCTACAAATGTCTATATATAAAAAAAATGGTAACCAACTCTTAGTGCAAATATAAAACGCGATTCACAACACTACTCTCTGTGTGTGCTCGATTCATTCTGTTTGACTGCTCTGAAGTCTAGTGCTCATATTTTGTGCTGGCTCACGGAGCTCTAAGGCTGCCTCTGTTGATGTTGAATCGCGTACGAACACACATGCATACGGCATCGCGTATAACGACAGTCGGTCACGAAATAACAAAACACACCAACACAAACCAGCACATACACACAGCACAGCACAGTATACCGAGTCGTAATAGAAAGAAACATAGAGCCACAGAGAGCTGTGAGTGAGAGCGAAGATGTGTGAACACTGTCTTTCACTCGTCCGAAACGTTTGTTTTGGTTTTTACGTTTTTTTTTCTCCCTTCGTTTCTGTATACACACTGACTCCATTGCAGGACGAGTGAGTTAGTGAGTGAGTGAGTGAGTGTAAGAGATTGATTGTGTTGATTTGAATGGCTGCGCGTGTAAAGTCTACAGCACCGACTCACAGCCTGTCACTTTGACTTTTTCTTCTCTCTCACACACAGACACACTCACCAGCATTTTGAAGCAAGTACGTTTTGGTCGATGCGTATATGTTTGTTTTGATTTTGTTGTTGTCACAATTGAATCGACATGTTTGAAGTGAAATTTTTTCGCCTATGCATGTATTGGTTGTATGGCCCGTGTTTACAATTAACATTCAGCTGTGGCATTGTATGCGTACTTCAAAATTCAACGTTATGTGATGCTACATTTTTTTCAGTGCTACGAAGGCGACTCTCCTTTGTATGTGATTTGAAATTATTATAGGCAACACAATAAATAATGCTTTGCGAAACGAATAGAAGATGAAAACAACAACGAGAGAAAAAAAAAAGGAAAACAATATTTGAAATGCGATTGAATATCGCGTTTGTTTGCATGCAATTGAAGTGAAGAGCAGAGAGAAAACAAAAAATTGTGCCAATCGTTAAAACGTCATTCACATTTCATTTTTATTGTTGAACATCACCTACAACAATTTGTATGGACTGCGTACCAGAAATCAAATACACGCAACTTCGTGGAACCTTCAATGTGTAAATGCGTATTAATCTGTTTCCCTAGCTACTAACTGTTAATACATTAAAGGGCAGCGCGTGTTCAGAATTATTTTCCTGCTTTTCGTTGTCTGCTTTTCTTTTATTTCGGTTCGAAATTCGCGTATCGTTTTTTGGAGCAAATGATCGACGCCAAACGAGCACAAAATAAACAGAGACAACAAGCCTTGTTTGTGTGTGTGTCAGCAAATTACAAAAAATTATATATGCTAATTCCATTTTACAAATCAATCATAGACACACTTTTGTCAAGTGTGTGCCCATTCTACGCAATTGATATGAGAGCCACCACACTCGAATGAGAGACAGCGCTGTGCGAGAGAGAGATTGATTAAGACTTGCTCGTGTGTCGATGGTGTGTGCTGTGTGATTTATACGTACGCAATAATGACGATGTATCAATAAAAAGAGAAGCAAAATCAAACGTGAATCTATCGCAAAACCAAATCACTTTTGTTTTTGCCGTTGTTTCGCACTGTCTCTCTCTCTCACTCTTTTGCACGCAACGTGTCGTTCGTTTGCTAGTCGTGTGTGCAATTTTTAGCTCAATCATATGTGAATAGGACGCGCACATATCGTCTAATCGTGATATAAAACATTACGTCGAACGATACGCGATGAACGTGCTTCTTTTTTATTTCAACAAAACCACCTCAAATACACGAGCGCAATTTTCTTGATCTCGTTCACAAGCAACTTTGCAGCAGTAGTTTTTTTCTCTGTTGTTGTTGCTTTTGCCTCGTCCGATTGAAACAGAGAAAGCAATAGGAACAACGTCATTCAAGACTATTTCATAATCAGCATTTTTTTCTTCTTCGCTTCTCTTTTCGCTATTCTCGATAAACTATATTTTTGAAATGCCCACGAATCACAAGCGAGAATCACTATTTTTTCGAATCAATTACGACCTTTTTTGACATTTCATGTGTAGAAATTCGATTTGCAATCGAGTTTCACTTCTTAACGTTACACAATAAAAACGAATGTTTATAAACAAATGGAGACGAAGATTTCTTTAAAAAAAATGATTTTCTTTCCATTTTTTGGGCATTTTTTTTTCATGACAGCTCATCAATTGGGATCATCTTTTATTATCACTGAACTGAAAATGACGGTTCATTTTTTTTGCTTAACGATTCATTCTTTGAATAAATTAACCGAAAAAAAGTTTCATTCTTCGCTTTTAGTATTGAAAATGCCTATTCATACACCGAACCGAAGAGGGTCTTCGCTGAAAATCGAAAAAAAATGGAGAATCTTTCGGAAGGGAATTTCTACTCACTTGCATTGCTTTTTTTGTTGTTGGTGGTTGCATAAAATCCACCAAATTAATCACAATTTTAATACTATACAAAAGAGATGACTTGAATTTTCCTCTAAATATTAGGTAAAAAAAAAAGAGACAGATAGACCTAAAACACTTCGTACACTTCGCGTCTTCTAGTTGCTGCCACAACTGTTGTGTTTGATTTATTTTTTCACTCTGTTTTGTGTACGGTAAGGAGAGCGATAGATTTGTGGTGTCTTTGTTATTGCGTATGTGCTTCGAAGTTTGGTTGCGATTGGATCACAAACGACGCAGCAGCAGCAGTAGCAGCAGCACCACAACCAAAACGGCTACAAGAATAATAACAATAATAATTTCTATGTTTATGTACAGGCCGAAATAGAGAAGAAAAACGGCATACACGCGCAAGCCAATCTATGTTGTTATGAGCCACACAAAAACTGTATACAGAAAAATCAGCTGCTATTTCTTGTTTGTATCAATGTGTATCAGTCATATGCTGGTTGTTTTGATGCACACAAACACACACTCACACGACGCGACACGACACGACACACACACTTGTTCACCACACACACAGCAAATCGACTCGTCCCCAACTACTACGCGCAAACAAACACATCAACACTGTGAATTCATATTTTTCGAAGGCTTCTGTTAAGCAGGTTTCGAGTTTTAACACCAGCCAGCGCCTCAATCTGTACGCTCAGTGTTGCCAAATTGTGTATGTTTTTGTTTGAAATGCAGTGAGTTTAAAACACTCACAAAATTCCGTTTTTATTTTTAAAACTTTTTATCGTCAAGTTCTCGGTTATCGCTGGCGAAAAAATAGATTTTTTTTTTTAATTTCCTGTATTCTCTTGATATGCCATTGCTTTTGCGTCTTTTTCCTCAATTTATTTCACATTGTGCTGGTTGATTCGCTTTCATTGAGCTTCGAAACTAAAATGAGATTGCCCGTGGCATTTTCACACGACGTGCATTTTGACGGACGATTCCAATTCGGTTGCGCATTTAATATAAATCACGTACGATTGATAATAACGATTATGCACCCAATCGGCCAAACGTAGTCGTTTTTTTGCATGGCTTTCTTCAACCGTGTGAGATAAGAATGAAATTAGAGCTGGTTGCGCATTTCTTTGCAATACTTTCCGTTCAAAATTATCCCCCCTCGGTCAAACTAAATCAGACGCACAAAAACAACCGTTTGTGTACTAGACAGAAAGTATGTCATAGAAAACACAATAAAATTGTGTATTATCACACGCCGTCGTCGTCGTCGTCGTCGTTCGGACCAAATTTCATACATATCGCTCCATTATCACCAACCTCTGGTGTATTTGTGTACGGATCTGTTGCCCATGTGCACTTCGTATCGCAAACAGACGGCACTAATTGAATGAGTCTTTTGCAAAGTATTGCTGTTATCAATTGCGTTATCGCCTTTCGTAACACACAATGGCGTTGCATAGACACGTAATCCACTCCATGTCCAAGTGATGAGTCTGTGTTTGTGTTTTGGCTCTTTTTTTTGTTTGTATTTTGATTTTGAACCGTGAAATTAGATTCGGGAGCAATATAAACAAAACGATGATAGGCGAACAGAAAAAAAAACTAGAGTATATCGACATGAGTTTATCCTCCATCGCAATTCCTACGACGTAATCATATATTTCTTTGATAGAAATTGCCAATTGCATTGAGGTTTTTTTTTCTGCTTTCAGTCGGAGAAAAATGCGATGCACAGGAATTTTGTGCACGCGAAAAGTTTTTCTTTTTCTTCGATTGAAAATAAACGAACTAAAATTTAACTGCGACGTTTCTGATGCAATAATCGAGAATGTTGGGGTCTTGAAATTGAAACGTTGTTTACTTTTAAGTTTTTGCTAGGGATAACCACAGTTTTAAGCTACTTCATCACATTGAATAGACGTAATTCCGGTTTTTGTGAACGAGAAAAATGATTTTACTAAACGAGCAATCAAACAAAAACTACCGAAACAGAAAAAGAAAGTTGGTTTATTAAACCAAAAAAGTACATACCATGGTCATTCACTCAGCTTTTGGTGAGATTCACTCTCTTGGCTGAAAAAAGACATTTGCTGCACACTTGATGAAGACATTTATTTACTTTTTTGAATCGTGAATATTTTTGCTTTATTTTATTTGAAAAAAAAAAACTCTTCTGCCAATGGCAGATTGCCATCAAAACATTTTTTTTAGTAAAATGACGTTTTTCGAAAAAAAAAAACATCGAAAATCTCAAAAAAGAATTGACAATCAAGTTTTGTTTATTATTGTTAATAAATAGAATTTTATTTCCTCAATGTAGTTTTTGTTTTTGTTTTTGTTTTACATAAATTAGTGTGTGTGGTTGAACATGAATTAGAACTGTTAAACAATCAAAATCGTACTTACAAGAATTGAATTTGCACAAACTAAGATTGGCGCATTTGATGCAAAGAAATTGTTTCTTTTTATATATTGCCTCCACTGTGGATCATTCTAATTAAACTCTATGAATCAAGTCAACGATTTTCTACGGTAACTGTTCGTTGCATTCGTTTAAGAAACGAGCTACACGGTCCGGAGAGATAGACAGATAGAGAGAGAGGGAGAGAGAGAGAGAGAGAGAGAGAGAGAGAGAGAGAGAGAGAGAGCAGTGATCATAAAATCTAGTTCAAAAATATTCATGCTATTTTCAACGATAACTTCGAAAATTAATGGATACATGTTAGATCATCATGATAGTACACATATCGGCAAGGCCATATATAACATATAAAATCGAAAATGCCGTTAATAGGCTATTATGTCGAAACAACCGAAAAACAACAACGAACAACATATTCCGAGATTATTTATAAATAAATGGTTTTTGTGTGCTGTGATAAAGTGTGAAGTTTTGTCTTTCGTCCATTTGATGCATCTGTTCGTCAACATTTTGATCGTTTGTGTGATAAGCACAGATTCACATGTAGCAAAAGCGTGTCGATCGGAAGATCGACACAAGGAGAGAGAGAGAGAGAACGAGAGAATTGTGAACTTTACCCAATAATTCAAGTGATAAGATCGTTGTCACTGAAAAATGATGCTCTTTTCGAAATGAACAACGAAAATGTTTCGTCGATCGATTGAACAGAATTTAGTAGTAAGTCGCAGATGTTATCACAATGTACAACACTTTTGTTGTTTACAAATTTCATTTGTTGTTTATTTCGATGGTTATTTATTGAATAAATCATCGACGACATCATCGAACGATCGTTCATTTTTCTTCGTCTTCTTTATTAAATGTGATGTATCGATCGTTCATTATGATGAAATTGAGACGAACACGTCAATAGAGCAGAATTCTGCGTAAGTAGCACTGGAAATTGACGAAAGTTTGGAGATTCATCGCGAAATCCACGCGTTCCGTGAATCACGAAAACCCAAGCGAAAACCAATATGAAAGTTGCTTGCACTTGTTGGATTTTGCTTTGTTGATTCAAAGATTGAGAGTGTTAATCAGATGTATTGTGACGATTGAGTGCAAAAATAAGCTTCAGCTTACTAAGTTTTGCATAAATAATGACTCACTACGTTGCTGAGTGGGGCAGGCTAAATCAACAAAAACTCGAATCACTTATTGATTGTGCAAGATAAGCAATGGCCACAAGCGATGTTTGAAGATATTTGTTTACGGTCATTTGTTTGTTGTTTATTGGTGAAGTCACCAGCTGACTGTAGTTCCAATCACCTGATTGATTTCACGGTGCGATCAGTGTCAATGATGTTGGTAAATTAAACGCACAAACGCTTTTGCTGTGCAAAACAACTTGAAATGTAAACAACTTTGATCGCCAATGCAATTGCGAATCGTTTGTAATCACTCTCACTTTGTTTACGGCATTTGCCAGACTCGTTGTTTACACGTTGTTGTGCCGTTTGCAAAGCGAATGCAACGAAAGTTGTTTGACTGGACTTGATTTTGTGTGGTTCAATCTATATCAGCGTAGTACACACACAGCAGTGTCTACATCCAACAACAAAGTGTACATGTCTATCACACATACTTGTTGTATGATTACAATTTGGATTTGTGTGCACACATTTTTTCTATATTTTTTTTTCTATATAATTTTTGTTTTGCTTCAAATTGTTTTCAAAAGATGTAAATATCGTTAATCTAGATAAAAGATTAAAAAAGATTCAGTGGCTGAGACAGCAATTTTCTATTCCATTTTTTTCGCCTTCTTCTTCTTCTTCTAATTTTTGATTTGGCACTGTTAGCCGCTTCATTTCTTTTTTGTAATTCGTCTTTGTAATTTATCTATTTTCAAAAAATCCATTTTAAGCATTTTGGTTTACCACTTGGACTTGGTTTTGTTTTGTTTTGTTTGTTTGTTTGTTTAAAATCACATTTTAAAAAGCTAATCAGAGCATCGATGCATTTTTTTCGGGACCCAGCCATTGAACAATTAATAAAAAACTATCTAACTACTTACATCGATAGAAAAAAAAACACAATGAAAATTCGCCCTAATTTGTTGTGTATGTCTGGTCTCACGCTGCTATTTTATTCTGGGTTGTTTCAATTTAAAAATGGCATTGCGATCATCGTAGCTACAAAATTGATGTCGCCACTAAATTGTCAAAGCAATCTATTTTAAACGGAAAAGTCAATATTGCCTCGTTTATATATTGACGCGCAAAATTGACTTTAAAAACTTGTGAAAATTTCCAAAATTTTCATGCTATTTGTGAGTGTGTATTTCTGTGTGTATGTGTTTATAATTTGTGGATCGGATGGCTGTTTTGTTTTTTTAATTTGAAAACACAATTTTGATACAAAGGTAAATTGTTTGCGTTCGTTTATTGAAATCATAATTCAGGAGGAAATCATCAAAGACAGTACAGTAAATTGAAAATTGGTTTAAATTCGAAAATTTGATTAAAATCCAGAAATCAAATTTTCTTCAATTTTTCTTTTCGTTCTTTGAAAAAATTCACAATTAAAGGCACTATTTCTAAAGCGCACGATTGTGAATCGGTGGACAATTTTTCCAATCAAATATGATTGTTTTTATATGGAGAAAATCGTCTATGATCGTATGTTTGCTATTTCCAAGGCAACGATCTATGCACGATTTCAAAAAGATCGTACACGATTGCAATCGTGTGCCTTGGAAATAGTGCCCTAAAAAAATTAAACAAAAATGTACAGAATTTTCACAAGAAAAAAAAAACCAGAGAATTAAATCGTAATTATATCAAAAAGAACTCATAATTCGTGTTTCATGTCGCTGAAAATGAGAATATTACCATTTGTTTGTGGTCTAATTGAAGTTTGAATGAGAGAAGGAGTGTGTTTGTTTGATCACGGTGTATTGAGTTGGGAACAATTTTGGATTGGTTGAGTTGGGTGCCATTATTTTCTCCATTTTTCACGATCATTATGTGTGTGGGTATGTGTTTGTGTGTGATATATCATCAAAATCGTTTTTGTAAATCGAATAGAATAAACGTTTTTAATTGTAAATTGTATGAGAATGAAATATACATGTATATAAATATTTTGGTTGTTTGTTTCTAATGTCAAGTGTGTTTAATGCTCTAAATAACAAAAAGTTTGCTTCTTTTGTAATACAATAAAACATATTCCATTTTATACATGTTTTGTTCTCCTTTTGTTCCGTTTTTTCTCTCTGTTTTTAGTGTTCCGAATGAAATGAAAGTAAAAAGAAGACTCAAACTGAATTTTGTATTCAAATTAAATAGGATTCTTTGGCAAATAAAACTAACCAATAGAAAAAAATGAAATTTTTCAACAAATAAGAAGAAAAGTTTGCTTTTTTTGATTGCAGATTTGGATCGTGTCTTAAAATGAAATGAAATAACAATGTTTTTTTTTTTCAAACTAACAATAAATACAATAAAGAAATTCGAATCAATTTCGAGATAAATCAACAGTAGCAACAAAAACATATTTGTTTTGGCCAACGAATTAAAATATTAGAAGGATTTATAACTTTCGTTTGTGTTTGTTTTTCTCTTGGATAACGTTCAAATAGGAGACATTTCATTTTAAAATATATTCATTTAAATTATCGATTTCAACAGTAAATATTGATTTGAATTAAATTGTTTTTTTTTTTTAATAATTTTTATATTCCATCGAACAAAAATGTCATCGTCTAAACATCGATACGAACTCGAGAAAGAAAAAGAATTAATTATTTGCTTCAATCCGCTAGCGACTCAAATATATATATATGTGACCAACCCTATCTTATAAATGTTTATTATATACTTTCAATGTGTTCCTTGTTCTTCTTTATAAAATTTCAAATTTCTAGCATTTTTTGTTTTGATTTGGTTTACGTTCATCTTTTTGTTTCTTTCAAATAATTGTGTGACTTTGAGTTGAGTTAAGAGATGTTTCTTTAGAATATATAAGTGTCTAACAGTGTCGATATTCAATTCAAATTTGTTCGATTTTCTTTCTATTCGCTAGTTTCATCTTCTTTTCTGTGGCTGTATTTCTTATAAAAACGTGTTTTTTTCCTTCAAAAAATGTTCGTTTTTGTGTCTCTAGGTGTGTCTTTTTTCAATTTGTTTTTCCTCAATGGTTTTCATTTTGTTGTTAAAGTTTTCTTTTTTTGTTGTTGTTCAAGACATTGTGATTTGTTTTAAAAAACAATTTCTATAATCAATTAAGTTTAAATTAAATGTTCCAGACAACCTTAGAAATGATATAATTTCTATAATTCAAATGCCAATTGTTTTTTTTGTCGTTAAATTCGTTTCAAACAAAACGAATGTCGAATAATTCGTTGGTTTCATATTAAAAAATAAAATTGTTTAATTTTCATTAACGTTTTGTTGCTTGTTTATTTTATTTTTTTAATTTCGTTCCGGAGTGTCTTCGCTCCGTTGCGTACAGAACCAAAAAAAAAAACAACTAAAGAAGAAGTGATAATAATAAATTGTTCATGATCAGAAATCATGCACATAAATTGAATGAGTTGAATATGATGAAGCAGTCCTGAACAGCACACAACCTCACTGCTTCCGTAATGTAGTCGCGGACGATGGATTTGATGAATATTATAAACGATAAACACGGTAAAACGGCATTAACGATAAAATACGCCTCTTGCTATGTAAGCATTCTGAAGAACATTATTGCCAGAGCTATGTTTACCACTAGCACCAGCAGAACTAGTTGCTGGCGCGAGAACCAGTCCTAGAGACGAGAATAAAAAATGAAAAGAGAAAGAGAGAAAAAGTGCACAAAATGGTGGAGAAAATTCGATTAGAATTAATAATTTTAACAATAGAGAGAGAGAGAGAATGACATGGATTTCTATACAATCTGCTCAAGAGAAGCGGCTCGCAAGCATAATGGTAGAACAGTATTTTAATCTTAGCAAAATGCGTGACATGAATGAACCAGAGTTGCAGAAATTAAAGACCGACATTTACATCGATTTTTTCTTAAATAAACACACATATTGAAAGCGTGAAATTGCGATTTCGCATCAACTTTTTTTTTGTCCGTATCATACAAAATACTGGAGCTTCAAGCTTTTTGTTTTGCATGCCAGCGAAGCGGAGATTGCTTTTTAAAATAAGAGATTTTTTTTTACATTAATACACGTTCCAGGCCATTGAATGAAAATGTTAACATTCTGGAAAAAATTTCCTCACGAGCAGAAGAAAATGAGTTAATAAACGGATGACCATTTATCGATAGGCAACACAACAACTAACATGCAGTTTTATGGTAATGATTGAACTTATCATAGATCTATTTGGCAGCAATAGACAACTAAAAGCGAATTAGAAGCGATGAACGCAGTGAAAGAACGAGTCAAGTGGATGGATTGATTTTTAAAGTATAATTTCAGTAATTTCAGTGAATCACTGATTAGTGTACAACAAGTTCGCCTTGTGGAAATCATACAATGATGGAATTTCTGCTACAGCCAATTCAATTATGCTTAGGGCCGCTTCATTTAAGGCTAGTGATTCATTTTTCCTGTAGAACAGAAATAAGCTTTTTGACTTTACTTCACTTCGATTGTGGGTATATTTTTCCACTTAGCCTGATTGACTTAGGTAAATCATTCAATTAAGCTCACTCTATTCCACTGCGGTTACATCGACTTGTTCTTTCGACGATTTGTCTATTGATTTTTGATTAATCGCCATTAGTCGGCGGTTTGAAGGCGATTTCAAGCTTAAAGTAGTCGACTTAATCTAACCAGCGAGAAAAAAGATATGGTAAAAAAAAACGGTTGCATGCACAGCTTTAGACTAGACTAATGATAGAGCATTTTCTGGTGCTTTTTATTCGTTTTCTTCATTATGATGAAAACATCTTTTACTCAATCCTGGGCGTAACCCATTAACGAATTACAAAATTCGTCGCCCCTATCCAAAATACAAAAACCTAACACACAAATCAATCTCTGTCACTTAAATATTTAAACGACACATCTATAAGACATATAGCTCATATGTACGAAATATCAACAATGAATAAAATGAGAGCCCAACGAAAATCCGATGTCCCATATGGTATTAGCAACAAAATGGTAGCTATTTGCAAATGATATGAGCCACAATTCGTGGCCCACGAACTAAACTGGCCAAAAAATAGCAATGAATTTTTATCAAAGGAATCAGATCTATCAGTCTAGATGAAGGGTGAATATGTCAAGTGGAAAAGTTGATGATTCTTTTATCCATCAATCACTTCCACTTTCAGCGCATAAATGGATACGAGACACCAATTTCAATAAAAACAAGCTTTTCACATTACTAGAAATCAATTTGCGTATTAGATGGATCCAAAACAAAAAGAGGTAAAAAAAATTAAAATAGCGATGGTCTAAACATACATTTTTTGTACACATATTGATACCAATTTCGACTTTTGAATTAGATGACAAAATAAAAACATGTAAACATCAATTATAAATTTTTGGTTTGTGGTTTCAATCGAATTGCTTCTGAGAAATGGAATGAAATACAACGGTTTGTTTGTTCTGGTAATCAGAGCAATTGATTGGATCAAAAGCAATGTTAATACTAACATACCTACAAATCTCTCTGTTCGATGTGTTTGTGTGTTTTTTTGAGTGTTTGAACGGATAACAGCAGGTAATGTTAGAGCGAGGTAGTAACAAGGGATACGAAAAAGGATAACAAGGTTTATAAATAGTGTTTTTTGTAAATTGTAAATTTTGCAAATACATAGATGTTGTTGGTTTCAAATAAAAGATAAGTCATGGTCAGTCGCGACTAATATAGAATGAGAGAGAAAATAAAATGAGTAGTAAACTAATTCTTTTAATTTATTTTTGGTAACGAGTACAAGATTGCTATTTGTATTCGTTTGTTCTATTCTAAAACAAAATATTGTTTCGTTACTCTCCCCAAGGAGAAATGGATCTTATTTCAAAAAAAACATAACAGATGTTCGATGAATATATATATTTTTTTTCTTTGGGTAGCTTAACACTAGCGAGAGAAAAAATTGTAGAAAAATTAGAGTGTATGCAGAGTTTAGAGGAAGCGGATATAAACGTTTATTCATGCGTTTGGTTTCGAATTTGGAATTTTGATTAGTAAAAAGAACAACTTCATTGACACAAGCCTGGCCGTATTAACGATCGATTCGGAAGGTTCTCGTGTATGTTTCGATTGTGGTTTGAAAATAATGTAGAAAAAAAACGGATCTAGGAAAAAAAATTCATAGCCAAACGAAAAAAAACCAAAATCAAAAGATCTTTGACATTGTGAAATGCAAAAAAGTCTGGGAAAAACAATTGAAAATTATTAGGTAGCACATCGTGATTGATTTCACATCAAAAACTGAAGGAAATTGAAAATACTTGTCACAAAACACGCACGCACACATCGAGAAAAGTAAATTCGCTGTTGCTGACAAGTCGCATATCAACAAACGAATGAGAAAAATTAAGCAACAATATTCAAACAAAATGAAAACAAATCAGAAAAACAACTGAAAATGAAATGAAAGAAGAAAAAAAAAACGAAATTAAAAAAAGGGCAAAATCAAAACGTACCTTCACTTGCGGACTGACCAAATAAAGCAGTGGATTAGCCTTTAACCGTTCGCTTAATTCGATTTGACGTCGGACTTCTTCGCGTCGTGCTGAACCAAGTGCCGACACTTCTTCGCGAGGCATTGGATACGTAGCACGCGGAAGCTCCTGAACATCAGGCAATGACTTTTTTCGACTCAATGGCAATGCAATTGGAATACTCTGTGTCATTTCGTTTTTGTGAATGAATATCACGCGGGAAAAATTGATTTCGCGGATAAATTTGACGCGGAAACACATACGGCGTGCCAGCGAGCGATTCGACGATAGAAGAGAAAAAAAACCATGGAAAGAAAATATTTGTCATGAATATCGGCTTCTTAAAATTGTACACAAAAAGAATTAGATTGATTGATTGCTTGAAATTGTTTTGTTTGTTAATTGGGTTTTAAGGCTTGGAGTTAGTGGACAACATTGAAATTCGTAGGTATCAAACATACTTTCTGCGTTTGGAGCAGATTTGAATGTTCTTTTTTTTGCGTGTGGTTAAAACGAATTGGAAAAAAACAAAAGCCATGAAATTAGAATATACACCTCAACCGGTGGAGTGACAATCCAACTTTCTGATGCTCGTCGCGCTAACAAAGCCGGCGAAAACATAAGATCCTCCTCTTCGTCTTCATAATCATCTTCCTGATACCAATGCATTCTAAATGATCATCTATTACGGTCAGCACAAATTGATCACAAACGATCGTTTATTGCGAACGTGCGATTGGTTACGTTGGCTCTTCGTTCTTTAGACGAATAATGATTATTATTTCAAATTTTTAATTCGAAAAGTGAAAATGCCAAAATCCAAAGTGTTCATTCAATTTTTTTGTCGCCGCAAAATAATATATTCACTGCTCTGACCTTGTGTTCGTTCGCCAGATGAAGGATTAAAATCGAAATTTGACGAATTAAATGATTGGTCCGCTTGAACGTTCGGTACGTTTAACTGAATAGAGAGACACATACGCACACTCACACCCCACCCGTTCGTTCTCACAGTCAATTTGTTCGGCTGAGTATTTCTTTCTTTAATTTTTTTTTTCGCTTTAAAATCGCTTTATTTCGTCGACACGGAGTCGCTCATGTTTTTCTCTCTTTCGCCTGCACTTATTTTCTCTATCATCGGAATCGTTGTTTTGTTGTGTCGAAAATAAAGGTAACCGTTTCGAAGCCGAATGAATGAGAAATGGATTTCTATTGTATTTTTAAAAAAAGTCTCTCCTTAGTTTCTTCTTCACTGGCAATTATATGCGCCTAAATTTAGAAACACGCAGTCTGTGCTGTTTATTCAAGCTAGTCGAACGAGAGATAGAGCGCGCTTCTTCGTATATATATACACAAACGCACACACTTTTAACATGAGCAATTTGCTCGAGCTAATGCGACTGATGAACGTTTCGTTTGCTATTGAAAATGATTATGTATGCAAACTTGTCTATATGATCGACAAAGTCAATTAAAATGCATTGAGCGTGGACCAAGTCTTTGTTTTGCACTTGGCGAAACCAACGAAATAGAAAAAAAAAACAAAAACGAAACGAAAATAAATTAATATGAACTATAAAAGAAAATTGATTGAAAACTAATTGGCTCTTGAAATGGCTGAGTGAGATATAAAAATGTGTTGACAATTTGAACTGGGAGATCACACCGTTGATCGCAAATCACATTGATTGTTTACATTCTAGATGAATCTGTCGATGCACGACCGATAGTGGCAGCGAGACGGAAATTGTTTTATTGCTTGCTCTGATCAAGTGGTTTTGACGATGAATTAGAATGGTTTTCAAATTTTTTTGTCGATCTGTCTTTTTTGAACAACTTTCCGTCGGAGTGTGTTTGTCTTTTTCCGTCGGTGTGTGTTCTGACGTTGGCTTGAAAATGAGACCACTTCTGACTCGATGAAATTCGTTTGAAAATCAAACACAATTGCAATATGATACGCAAAACTATTGACGAACTCTTTGAACCAAAGAAAAAAAGAAGTGAAATATGAAAATACACCGTTAAAATGCCGCACACGACCAGTCACTGAAAAAATACTGACGAAAATCCGTGACTGCTGGCGAATAAAATAAATGAAACTTAAGCTCGTTTTCTCTCGCTCTCTCACACTTTTGCTCGCCTCTTATTTTCTAGCGACTGAAAACACAACGCATTGAAAATGACATTACAAATATATACACGCGCTTTTCTTCACTCTCTCTCTCACTTTGACACATACTCACACCAAGAGGACTTGGCTCACACTGAGCCCATCGAGAGTGTTTCTAGCATTTCACTTGAAAGCTATTGTACAATTGATGAATATATTTTGTCGGTTTATCTGTGCGAAAGAAGATGTCACACAGCGATTAAATGAAGGATTTTTCTATGTATTCATATCCGCACGCACACATCAACTGGCTCATATCATCAAAGTGGATTGCAGTTGTCGAATCGGCGGCGAATGTATGAGACTGAGATAGAGATAGAGCTGCTGATGATGATTCTACTGACGATGATTGAGCTTATGGGTATCAGTGCGCCAGCAAGGAAAGAACAAAAAAAAACTGTATGTAAATGATTCAACGAAGTAAATAATTCAAGCGAGAGAGACATCGTCATATGAATCGAAAACAGTCGAGAGGATTCATGTGAATACATAGCGCGCTATTTTTGAATTGAAACGATGAGCTCGTTACATCGGTCTATAGGCTAAGCTCGCGAATATGTGTGTGAGAGAAATAAGAAGAAACAGTTGTTAGAATTTTCCATTAAAAAGACGAACACAGAATAGATTTGTTTCTTCTTCGTGATGCTTTTTTCCCCTTATATTCGCAACGACTCGGTCGCAAATTGGCTGGCATTAAAATGACATACGCACATTTGCTTGTTTATCAAATCCAATCAATCGGGATATAGTACACACACAATATGTATGACAAAATACCGTTAATAACGACGTTTTATTTTGCATACTGTTTCTCTTGCCTAAAGAATGTTCGATATTAGCGAAATCACATTGTTAGCGCTAAAAAGTAGCAGCAGTGACAACAACAATGACCAAAAAACTGGGTTATTCGAAAATATTCGGTTAACAATGAAAATATGCGAGAAAATACTTTTTACTGTATATTTATTTTCTTTTGAGAGAGATAGAGCTGAGAGGGAGAGAGAAACAGCAAAAAATAAAAACGCTGTCGAGTTATGTCACGCGGGGCCATGTATTGATATTAATAGGATTGCATTTTGTTAGTTTTGGTTATTGTGTTAAAGTCGTCTATAACCGAGAAACAAATTATACCAACCGAACAAAGAAGAAGAAACGAAAAAGAGAAACAAACGAAAGGAAATTGGTTTGCGACGAAAAATGGGAGTCGGATACATACCTTAAGTTTACCGGATTTACCGAAGAAACCACCACCACCACCTCCAGCTGATGCTGCAGCAACGCCTGGCTTTTGAGGCGTGTACAGACTTTCTGTTCGTTTCGGTTCACGTGGTGATGGTATTATATCTTGGCCTAGGTTTCGTTGTCGCAGCAAAACATCTTCGAACGGTTGATTTGGCGTTGAGTACGTTGGCTGCACACTCGACGATGTCAATGATGCGCGAGGCGATGGCTTTCCAATGCCAGTCATTACAGAACCATTTCCAGCTGGATTGACTGCAAGAAAACCAAATTAAATGGGTCAAATTAGGAAAATCTCCTTCTAATCTCAATGAAATGCTTTGAAATAGAACCAAAACCAATTGAAACTTTCAAACAAAACAAAAAAACTCACCTGACGACTGATTTGGTACTGCTGGTGTCATTGCAACCGATCCTATGTTTCTAAATGCAGATCCCGCGCGTGTGTTACGATCAACGGTGTCAGCGGTGGCTTGATTTTGTGACGGATTCAAATTGTTTGTTGGCGGTAAAATGCTTCGATCGATTGATGGTTGTCGTGAACCGCCCAGTCTGCTGGCGGCACGTGCATATCTATCTACGGATGAATCACGGCTCGGTGGCCGTTTATAATGATCAAAATGATCGATGGAAGATTGTGAAAATGATGAGCCAATGTGTGGCCGCGTTGATTCGTTAACGTTACGTGAGTTTCGTCGTAAATTCGATGGTCCAGGCCCCAAATCGGGTGTGTTATCCGTTTGATCGTATTGATTTTGATTTGAATATTGTTGATTGGCATACTGTGAAACGGCACCGCTTTGGTAATCTTGTGCTCCATCCACTTGTTGGCTACCTAAGCTATAATTTTGGTATGAGGACTGTTGCTGAGTATTATACTGTTGTCCATATTGCATTTGTGATTCGCCAGCACCACCGTACGGCGATTGCATCATATTATTTGCAGGATACTTTGATTGCATTTGTGGAACATTGCCCGTATAGCTACTATTATTAAATTGTTGTGTATTTGACTGAGTGAAAACATTTTGATTCGGCGTATTGTAATTGGATAGATTGGATGGCTCTTGATTGCCGTAACTGTTGTACATATCCGGTTGATACGTTTTAAATGGTGGTTGCGTTCCAATTGGAGGTGTGTAGTGTAATGTGTGCTGTGGCAACGGTCCGATGTTGGCACCGGGCGGTACATCGATCGATGCCTGTTTCTGTAGCATCGACTGGCGACGGAGTGAGGCTTGATTTGGAAATGATGGTTGTTTTTGTGGCGTCGAATCGATGCTGGCCTGTGTTGGCAAATGATTTGGGGTTGTGTTACTGCTGGCCTGTGTCATTAGGTGAGGTTTAATATGCGCCGTCACCGATGGCATTGGCGGATCGTTTGGTGATCGATAACGATCCCTAACCCGAAGCCGCTCGAAACGATCCAACACCGATGGCTTGAAATCGGGCGCAAATTCACGCGCTGTTGCCACCGCTATTTCCGAATCGACACGTGCATGATCGCCCACTGAATCGGCCATTTCGGCTTTGCTACGTGCAGTCGCCGTTCGTGATACCGCAATGTCAGCCTTTTGTAATGCATATTTTGAGGCACGTTGTGACGAACTGACCGCTGCATCGATGCGCTCACGAAACTTTGCCGATCGCATCAAAAACAAATGCTTCTTCTTTTGACTCGTTATCAATACATTGTATTTATATTTGCCCTCCTCTTTAGAACCATCACGAAATGTGGTCACACCATAGCCATGCTTCTTGTTATTGTGCCACTCTCCTTCATATCTGGAAAAATGAAACAAGAGAGGAGGAGAAGAGAGAAGATGATGAGATTCAATGAAGTCAGCAGAATAGTTTTCTATTTCGACACTTACTTAAGGCCATCGCTACGCTCTGAAATACCGTATCCATCTCGTTTATCACGTTTCCATTCACCCATATACACTTCGGTTACACTTGGATCTAAGTGCTCTTCATCTACTGTAAAACTGGCATTTGAATCTGTTTGCACAGACCTGCGGATGAAGAAATGGATAAAGTAACGGATTAGCAACGTATACTTTTGAGTATATCTATCACTATGTTTGAAGCATGTCATTTTTCATACTTATTTGATATAGCAGATTGTGATGATCCTGTACTAATCCATGATGCAGTCGATATTGTTGATCTAATACTGCCCGATGCATTGCCACGCTTCTCCAAATCGCCGGTGCTCCGCATTTTCTTCAATTTTAAGCCCTGCAGATGAGCGTTATTTTTCAATAAATATCCAGCATTTACCTTAACTTCTCCATTTCAAGTTTGAAAAATTACATTCGAAATGTAATTTTGAAACTTGAACGATGATTTATGTGCATTGAGTAATAATTTCTTACCGATAAAAGTCCTTTTCTCGTTTTGTCTACTAAACTATTTCGTCGTGCTGGAGATTCATCGGATTTGGCTTTCAACACAAAACCGCCACGAATTTCGTCCATCCGATGATTACGCTTTTCAGCGGCATCAACACTTCCGCTGCCCCCTTCATTGCTTCGCAACGAAGTCATTGATGTTTGAATATTTTTTGGTCGATAGTGTGATGCAAGACCAAACGGTGCGCTCGTTCGAACACCGTAGCCATGTCGTTTCCCTTCTTGCCATTGACCTTGGTATGTACCTAAAATGCAGGAGTTAAAACAACAAATCAGCCATTTTTAATGTACATAAATATTGATTTAATATCCAGTTTCAATCATAAATGCCAAAAAGCAAAGAAGAATTCACCACCACCGCCGCCACAATATGTTGACTTAATTTTTGGTGTGCAAAACTTTTGAAACAACAACTTCAAAAGTTTCGATATAAAAAAGTAAACTAGCACAAACTAGTGCATGTGTTTGATGTGCTTTTTGCTCAAAAAGTTTGGCTTCATGGGTTATGATTTATTGACAGAAATGAATTGAAAAGAAATACATGATGTGGTTTGAAAATCGGTTGGTTCACTGAAATACACACATAGGGTTTTATCCGGATAGAAAACTTTTTGTACGTATTAACGGTAATTTGAGAAGAGAATTAGCAAAAGGGTTTCAAAACCGTCTTATCTGTTTTGGTTTGGCCAGAGTTTACGTGTGCAAACTATGTGACCGCACGCAAATATGGCTTAACAGCAGCACACATTGCATAGCATTTGAGTAAAATGAACCGACAACATCAGATCATTTAGAAGGTTTCGCAGCTTATGTTCATTCAGTTTTTGATGTGTAATACCATTTTTGCCCAGTAGCAACAGCACCAACAAATTATAAAAAGGAAAAAAAATCGTTAAAGTGAGCATTCCAATCCATTCATGTTTTTATTTACATGGAAAGAGTGTGTGTGTGTGCGAGTGAAGACCCTCAACTGATTTGATTATATCAGCTATCTATTCTAATCAAATAAACTGTGTTGACATTGAATTATATCCATATATAGATGTATTTTACCTCCATCAGCATAGGTTTCTGAGCCGTATCCGTCTTGTAAGCCACTCGCCCAAGTTCCTTCATATTTCGCTGTTGATGTAGCACTTTGTCGGACACCATAACGACCCTTTGAGCCGCTGGTCCATTCACCGCGATAAATCCATCGTCCTCGAGTTTCCACACCTAATCCATGCCGTCTTCCATTTTGCCATTGACCCTCGAATGATGATCCACTAGACGAAGCGATTTAGAAGAAAAAAAAAAACACAAATCAAACGCAACAAATCAATCTAATTGGCATATGTCAAGTTGAAAATGGAGGGAGAAGCGGGAAAGTGAAGAAAATAGCAACGATGTAGAAAGATGCAGAGGAGAAAATGTGAGAGGGTGTAAAGTAAAAGAAGGAAAATATTAAAATAAAGTCAATCAATGTGTGTTGCTGTGCGAAAAAGCGAACAAAAACATTTCAAAACATTTTTCATCGCAATCAATCAATATATCGAAAGCAATTTTCCGGTCAATTATTCAAATGTTGTTTGTTTGTTTGTTAAGTAATCGACATTGCTCTTTTCCATTGAATTTCGTTCAACCTGCCCGCCCCACTGTTCCTCTCACGTTCAAAATCATCCAGGCATTCGATATTAAGTCTATTTTATTGGAAGCAATTACGTGAAAAAGGCAGCCGACGTCGTCGTCGTTGTCGTTGTCGTTGCCGCTGTCGTGCACACACATAACATGCAAATAAATGCGCTCACTCTCTCGCGCGCAACGAAAGGAATTCAAAGCGGTTTTTTTTTCCTTTCAAAAGAAGAAGCAGAAGCAAAAAAATTCCTCTATTTGCCGTCACAATATGTAGCGCATTCGGGAAAGAACAAAATGAGATACAATATAATACACAAGCGAAAACGGTCTTCGTTTCGTTCTTCTTCTTCTTCTTGTTTTGCGCTTTTGTGTATTCCTTTTTTTCTGCTCGGTGCTTTGCTTTGCTTTTTTCTGACTTTTCTCGTTCATGCGTAAATATCTACGATTGTGTACGTTTTGCCAGCTAAAACGATATTGGTTGGGTGTTCGGATGATTTAAGCATTATAGTCTTTTAATAAATCGGCTGTGGTTGTTATGCGTGCCTAGAGTTAATCATCATTTAGCGCACACACGGTCGTGTTTTTTGAGTAAAAATAGACATGAATTTTCCGCCACAGGAAGCGCAAGAGAGGGAGAGAGAGAGAGCGACAGTGGAAGAAAAGTGTGTGGAAGCGAATAAGAAACACACAAACACAGCAATTCTATGAAATGTATGTGCGATTGGGTAGGAAAATAGCAAGAACTGAAGCAAATGAACGAAGAAGAAGTAAAAAGTAAAAAAGGAGAAAAAAATGTCTATGATCAAATCAGCTAGTAGCTGTATGCTTTGTGCCAGAAGGCAAAAAGCCGAGCAAGGCAAAGAGAAAAATGTTTTCGCTAATGGAAAACGGAGTGAGAGAAAATGCTATATGTAACGAGATATTTCAAGATTGTACAGGAAATCGATTCGCCTGATAGTAGTCAAATGCGCAACGGTAACGGTATTCAATTGAAATGTGTTTATTCGAAGTATTACACATTTATTGGCTGTTGACTGGTTACCGTACGAACTGACTGCATTGAATATTCTCTCTCTCTCGCGGCGCGCGAACGAGCATATGCGAGTACGATGGCTCTCACACAGGAGATATAAAATAAATACGAAATGTTACTACATACACTGTGGCGCACGTGCAATTTCAAGTTGATAAATAATGATGATTTTTTTCTCTCTGCTGTTTGTTATTCACCGTAAAATTTATTTATGGAAAAATGATCCAACGCGCTCGTAGTTATTTGCACCTTTTTCCATTCCGAGCCTCATAGTCATGAGAGCCTTATACACATTTGCTTCCGTCGTTTATCGTCTTTTACAATGACCGAAAAAACAACAACAACAACAACAACAGAACGATAAACGAACATAATAAGCCGCCCGAACACAACATTCACCCATATTTTACATGACACATCCATTTGCCATGTTGTTATTAATGCCATTAAATGTTATTATTATGGCGTTGGACTACATTTTTTCCATTCGCTATGTTCCTTGGTCGTTTTTCATTAACTTCATCGAGCAAAACATTTTTATTCTGTTTATTTCGTTCGGCCATAAACTAAATTGTGTGTATGTGATCTGAGCATTCGAATGTGACCATATAATTAGTGGACGGTGACATTAAATGAATTGAAAATGGATTAGATTTGGAAAATTTATGTTTTATTCTTTACCTTGGCCAGATGTAAACACCAGACACTTCAAAGCCATAGTTCCATGCACCTGAATAAGCGCCTTGATGCTTTGGTCCCGTGCACACGCCATGTCCATGTGCTTTCCCTGTTTCAAGAGAACGAGAACGAGAACGAGAGAGATAGAGAGAACAAACCAAGTGGAAAACATTTTTAGAGACATGATGATGCATGGGTGAGTGATTGAGTATGTGTATGAGTTGAGTGAATGAGCATTTTGCTCTTGTTTGATGTCTGCCGAGTGCTTTTTTATACCTTCATCCCAACCTCCGCAATACGTTCCGCCGTCTTCGAAATCAAAGCGGCCGCCATTTATCTGAGCTCGGCCCGTCGACGAGTTTGCATTCGCTGCAGCGGTTGGCGTTGTTGCTGTTGTGGTCGTTGCTGACCCAGGAGAATTTGGTGCAATCGCTAATACGAATTGGATGAAACAAAGAGAACAACAATTTTGGGTTTTTGGTGAATTGAATTTTTGCATTATTAAATCACTGATTCCGTCCAAATCGAATTTCGTTCCCTTTCGAAAAAGGATTTTATTCTTTTTGGAAAATATTTTCTCTTTTGGCAAATAAAGTCGATTATCTTTTAAGATTAACTACAGAAATATTCAATCATGCTATGCTTACCTGGAGGTTCATTGTTTTGTGCGGAATAATTGAAATTGACTTGTTGCGTTGAATATGGTGGCTGTTGCATTTTCCCTAGCCACAATGATTTGAAAGAAAATTTGACACTGTGTTGTTGTTGTTATTATTTTTTCGATCTTGATTCACGAAGGTGCACACCGAACGACAGCAAAAATTATGATTTCTGTATGTCAAACTAAAATGGTGCACATATGCGCGCACATTCGTATATATCGACACTTCTTCTATCTTTTGTGTCTTTATTTTCTTTTTACTCGAAATTTTTCTTTGTGGTGATTGCTCGCTGTTTCACCGCAGATTCTTTTGTTGCAATTGTTTTACTTCTTCTTCTTCTTCTATTTTCCGTTTCTGTCTGTCGACACGTTTTGAAATAAATTCAAAATAAATTTGCAGCTATGCAAATATGTTAGGAATTCAATTCGGTTAAGCGGTTTGATTTGACTGGGGATGCTTTTTGTCTTTTTTTTCCCAACTACGATAATTGTATTTGGCTAAAAACACACTCTAAACGTATTTCCCACATGATTGCGCCAAATTTGGATGCTATCGAACAAAGCCAAATCACTATTTTCTTTCACTTATTTCTGGTTTCACTTTTTCAATTTCGATTTGATTTGTATTTTCTGATCGAATTCTTGATTTTAATCAACACACGTCCACTTGTCTGTTTGTACTCGTTTTCGACTCGTTTCAAGAAGCATATTGAAATGTGTAATTTATCGTGGTTTTCATCGATTTTTTCATTCCGTTTTTTCAATTTTAAATTTGATTTCTGCGTGTGTGTTTATCTTTGCGTTGGTTTACTTCCGCTTAGTATTTCGTTACTTTGGATCGTTTCATTAGCACATTTTAATGAAAATCAAATCGATTAATTGCACTTAATTCTTCATTCCTCTTTGACACACTCACGGAATCCCTATAGCGTATTTTTATTGTGTTGCTCTTGTGAATATTTCCATATATATCCTTCTCTCACTCGCTTATTCGCACTCGCTGCTCCTCATCAACAACTGCTTTATTTCCTGTGTGCGTCACGTTTCGTTTGCATATATCCAAAGCGAAAATAATACTAATCCTCAACTGGGTCGTTTGTAGCTAGTGTGTTTTGTTTTCTGAAGTGCTTGCTAAACTGTATGTGTTGGAAATAAAATGAAATGAAAATTAAGCACGGAACTACAGTGATTGTAATTAAATAATTTATATATCACATTTGAAGTGAAACAACAACAACAAATTAAAAACGACGGACTGAAATTGGTGGATTTGTTGTTTTGAGCAATTATTCATCAATTGCATTGGACACCGTGTCGTGTATTGGAACCGATCGATTGATCCAAATCACACTCACACTCACACCCCCTCCCGAAAGCACTCCAATTACACCAATCCCAATAACACTTATTTATTATGTGAACAAACTGACATATCGTCGATGGCCCGGCCTGTCGAAACCGAACAAACAAACTCAAATGGTTTTATAATTAATTGAGAACAACATAACTATAACATAGACGCACGCAGATGCACACACACACACACACATGAAGAGAGAGCCAAGCGAACGAGACACACCGATCCGAATGAGTAATGTGATTTGGGCGATTGCAATTTGTTGGGCCTTTCATCAAACTGCATTGTGATTTCGTCGCAGATCGCAGAGCAGACGGATAGATCAACTAGGTTCGAATAGGCGTGTGCAGTCGAACGGCGAACTGCCAAAATTAACATACATAAAAATTGACCCGTTCAATTTGAAGCATTGGGTACAATAAGAAGGCGCTCGCACGCACACACGGCCAACATATGAATCACTGCAACCAAAACAGCGACTGTAGCTGAACAAATCCCATCACGACTTCTAGTGCAACAACAACAATAACAACGACGAAAAAAAACATGTCGAAATTATCGAAACTATGCGTAAGCACGAGAGAGAGTAGAAAAAAGGAGACGACGAATGAGAACCAAAGCGAAACACCGATAGAAGGGAAAAAAATGAACGACCAACAAAACAATGGAAATTATTTTGCAATTTTTCATGAAAGCGCGTACGAAAGGGTGAAGGAGAGACAGAAGCAGCCAGCCGATCGACCAGTCACATACAATAACAACAAAAAAGCACTGATATTGCATATTTACACCGACACAATTCGCATACACTTGCATTAAATGAACTAGAGAGAAAATTGCTCTATTTTAGGAAGGTCTATGAACTAATTTTCATGTCACTCTTACACCACAAACAACAGCAACGTGAAGGAATGAGACACACTATATCAAAATTCGGGCATTGAGACGAAACGATGAAACAGTAACAGAGACAGAGAATGCCAAAGATCGGCCAGCTTCTCGTCACTGAAACACAGTGTTTTGTGTTGAAGCCCGATATTTATTAGAGAGTGAACAAATTAATGCTTAAAAATAACTATCCCGTATTCAGTTTGCTACACATACACACGCATGTATGCGGTTCGAACCGAGAATATAGTGCGGCACATACAAATTCGCACTTCAACTGAACTGACGGGAGGCAAAAACAAGAACAACAACACCGAAAAGAAAATCGAGCAAAACTTTCAAGAAGAAGTAGAAGACCTACACTGAAGACAACTTAGCAACAAATCGAAATCCAATGGAATATGGCAAGTGAATAAACTATTTTGGTTGCTAAAACAAAAGGCAGAAAAAAAGAGTGTCAGAATCAAATCAAATCAGCGCGTTTCTGTTTTCGTTACATTTCGTTCGTCGTTATTGTTCAACAAACTCATTTTGTTTTCTTTTGTTTTTATAATTCATTAGAAAAATCCGTGTACAGAATGCGGTTCCAACTGCATATGTTTGGATTTATGTTTATTTACAATTTGTGTCAGGTTTTTCTTTTGTTTTTTTTTGTCTCTCTCTCTCTCTCTCTCTCTCTCTCTCTCTCTCTCTCTCTCTCTTTATTTCTCGTTTTTCTTTGGGTTGCTTTTCACTTTGCTGCTTGTTGTTTTCCAGGTTTTTGTATTATTAAAAAGGAATATGCTGTACTCGGTGCTGCTGCTGCTGCTTCGTTTGCACATTTTTGCGCGATATGCATGCAAGAAAAGAATAAAAATACCACAAATTCTTTTTTGTGTTCACTCTCGGCCTTCTCTCTCTCTCTTTCTCCGTTCTTCTACTTAGTTAGCTCTCTTGGAGTGCCTTGTGTTCTCTTTTCCCGCCGCGTGAGCGCGCGCGCTACACCATATGCCAGCGCGCACAATGACTTGAATGCATCGCGTGTGAATAGGTCAAGTAATTTTCATCTAATTCTTTTTTGCGAACAAGTGGAAAGCGAGTGCAAGTAATGCATTCAGGAGATTGAATTAATAAGACCTCAAGGATAAAATAAAGTAGCGTATATATGATAAATTATGCGCTTGTTTCTCTTTCTTTTCGCTTTTATTTTGACCTGATCTCAAACTATGGATATTCGCTCGCTCGCTCGCTCGATTTTCACTCTTTGCCACACTGTGAATGCGAAATAGTTTGCCAATCATATCCATACAAAAGCAATCAACGAGAATCAGCAATTCGCCGTCTTTTCCTAAAGAAAATGGAACTCAATTTTCCTCTTCTCTTTCTCGCACTCTCTCTCTCTCTCTCTCTCTCTCTCTCTCTGTCTCTCGGTGCATTGTGAAATCAAAGCAGAGAGAATCTAGATTGTATTTGAAACGACCGAATAGAATAGCATAATAAAGCCATAAGCATATATCCACTTCTGCAAGATATATCAACATCCAACGGCTAAATCTGTCAAAAGCTCTCGCTCTCTCTTTCGCTCCCAAGAAAATAGCCGCGCACTAGTTTTGCAACAGCAACAACAACGACACAAAACGAAACATACACACGCAGAGAGAGAGAGAGAGAGAGAGAGAGAGAGAGAGAGAGAGAGAGAGA